CAGTCAAAGGGCTTGGGTCCTACCGAGCAGTAGGGAGCTTCGGTAACCATCCGACTATGACTACAAAAGTATGTATTTCACCAAATTCGCTTGTCAACATTAAAATTCAGGAGCTTAACTTAAAACAGGTGTTGGAAATTATGTCGAACACTATCGCGTTGTGCTACTTCCTGTGCGCATTGTTTATTCATGAAACGCCATTTGTTTGTACGCTGCCATTGAAAATGTTTTTGGTGTGAATAATATTGTTGCATTTGTTGTAGAGGTATGTAAATAAAAACAAAGTTTCCAAGTGGTTGCCTGGGCTTATTGTAATGGAACATTGGGCTGCAACAAGAGGCAAACTATTTGGCGAAAATCCTTTTGGTTCGCGTCAGACAGGCGGTATTTGTATTTGCATTTGTGCTTTCATTGCGTAAGCATTGGGAGATCTGTCATTTTGTGTAAAGATGTGTGTGTGTGTGTTGTCGACTTGCTGAAGGATTCGTGTGCACAATACCGTCATTATTGTTGTTACTGTTGTCTTTAACCGATAGGACCATTCATTGGCAGTCAACACAGCCTCCACCCCAACAGAGTGAGCAAAAAATTATGGCGGGAACGAAATGAATTACAGCGAACACAGAAATACCGTAGCAAAACGTGCGGGCTAAAACAATGACAGAATTGGCGCAATGACTTTGCTCTTTTGGCTTAAGTTACTTTTTGCTTAGCTAAGTAATGGTTGCTTTTCTATTTTCTTCGCTCCTGACACTGCGCCAACATCAATGGCCCACAGTAGTGTGCCGTGGAAGTCGCCCTCAATTAAAATTCGAACTTTGAAACGACTGAACAAGAATAGCAAACTGGTAACGACAATGACAAATACTTTCACTTGTCGCCGTTGGCTTTTCATTGTGTGTTTGGCAAAAAGAGCTTGGCTGTGAAAAGGCACAAAAACGCACAAAAGTTTACACAACAAATGGCTGAACAAATATACCGTTGGCGAAACGGAAAACAATAAGTAAATAAATATTTTGATGCACAAGCTGTGGGCGTTAGGGAAAAGCACGTGAAAAGCTATTTGCAATGTGCCGCAGCCAGCTGTTGTCATTACTGGCCTGATTGCTTACGCTAACGAAGGAGAGGTAAAGACGGAAAAGTGGCAGCACAAGTTACATACATACATACATACATACATACATATGTAAATGGCGGGTTAGGTCATGTACAAGGACCGAACTAAATTGTTTGACAATTTGTATAGAATTAGATTGAAATGAAATAAATCTAGAAAGGGCAAACGATTTGTAATGTGCCAGCCTTCAATTGATTTGGCTTTGGAACTTTGGAATTTGCATTTATTAAAATTAAGGTGATAATAAAAACTTTTGGGGGTTATTGTAATTTTTGTGCGGTTGTATGCATTTTTAGTATTTGATACAATCTACAATACTTGCAGCAACAGCCCGTCTTAATAGCGGAAAATCAGTTAAACATCAAACTTTTTTTCTAAATATGCGCTGATCAGCAATGAGAAAAGAAGGATGCCACAAGTCTTCCTAACTGAGTAATCCGGAAAGGGTGTCTTAGATGACGGGAATCCAAAATGTGAAAGCAGGCCGAGAATGGGATAAGGGGAGCATGGTTTCAAAGTAATGAAATCAAGAATTTACTTTTTTTATTGAAACATTTTGGTCCAGCATTTTCACCAACAATTCACGGCCACGGTTTATCTGCTAATATTATAGTTTGGTGGTCGTAGGAAGGCATACTTCCAAGGCAGTATGAAATAACCTAACGAAAGAGTTATGTCCGCGAAGAAGTTCTTAGAATTTCCCCCAATGGTCTGGCGTTTCATAGCATGGTAAATCGAATAACAAAGTAATTTTAAGAAGTTTTTTCTCTTCAACAAAAACAATAATCCGCTTTGATGGTGAGTCTGTCTGTATGTATAGAGTGGCTGGTGGCAATTTCAAAATGGGGGAGTATCGTTGGTCTACAGAAATTCAATATATACATAGACTTATTTCTGATGAAATATCTTAAATGCCTTATCAAGTAGCGCAATTGTTGTGGTGGTGGCTTTAACGGATGCCATTTTAGATTGACCCCGGGACAACTTAATACTGGTGTCTCCGAATGAAGCTTTAATGCAGATTTGTATTGGTAAATCATATCCATTGGGCCAGTCGGAAAACACGGGAGTTCGACGAACTCAGTGTCGACGTAATCGGACAATCACGACACTTTTTTCACTAGACGGGTTTTTTTAGCAATAACTCGACTCCAGCGCCACCTGGCGGCTACTTTTTGTAAAAGTATTGCCCTTACAATTATGGATACATAACCCGAATATGAGCCAAACCTAATCATAAATACGAATTTTTATTAATAACTCGACTCCTGAGCCTCTTTTCGGGTAACAGCAATATTTTCCCTTACGACACCAATACATGTTTCGAACATAAGTCAAATCGGATAATAAATATAGTCCTCTGCAAAAATTTCATATATTTCAGTAGAGCCAATCAAATTTTGTTTTGTAATTTAGCAATAATATGTCTTGGAATGTAATTATTCCGGATTATTTGCGGTAATTTTGTAGGGAAAATTTGTAAGCTTCCAAATTATGACCTTTCTAAACATTTAGTAAGTATTGGACTACAAAAAAAAACCAAATAAGTAACAACTCGTAAGTAGTTAAAAGAATTCCATTTGTATTTCGGAACAACGGCACAAAACGAAAAAAGTCATTATTTCCCATAAAAAAATTACAAAGTGTCTTACTGAAACTACTTACATAATATTATTATGAAATGAAGAACGGCTCAATACGAAAAGTGTCGTTGTTTCACATAAAAGCATTACTAACCTATCGGCAGTTTTTGACTTATGCCAATATTTAAGACAAGTGTGAGACATGCGCCACTGTTCGGTAGTAAGGGTTGGCTACCTCGGTTTTGTGACAAATAGAAAAGCTGCGCCTCTGCCGGATTGGTAACAACTTAGTCTATGACGATTTGCCACAGAAAAATATATTTATTTATAAATCTAATCCGTTATATATCTCAAAAACATGAAATTTTGAGTTGTGCCATTATTGCAGAGGATCATCGATATATAGAGTTTCTGTGCATAGTCATTGTTATGAAGCAAACATATTTGTTAATATGAAGTTTAATAATACTATAATAATAATATTTTTTAGATTACACTTTTGCTAAGTGTTTGGCCGAGCTTCTCCTCTAATTTGGAGTGTGCGTCTTGATGTTGTAACACAAATGAAGGCACCTACAGGTTTACGCCGCCTCCGAACACTAAATGGATTTCATGAGAAGCTTTTTCATAGCAAAAATAATAATAATAATAATAGATTGGCGCTTACACATATGTTAGTGTTTGGCCGAGCTTCTCCTCCGATTTGTGGCGTGCGCCTTGATGTTGTCACACAAAGCGGAGGGACCTACAGTTTTACGCCGACTCCGAACGGCGATTGTATTTTTATGAGAAGCTGTTTTTCATGGCAGAAGTACACTCGGAGGTTTGCCATTGCCTGCCGAGGGCGCCCGCTGTTAAGAAAAAACCTTTTTTCTATATTTTTTTGCGATGTTGCTTTGACCAGGGCTTTAACCCAGGCGTTGCGGAGTGAAAGCGTGCACTGCTTACCACTACACCACAGCGGCCGACTCTCTCTGCTCTAATGAAATAGTCATACAAATAAACTATAATGTCGAGTCTTCGGTGTCTGTCAGACTACCACATCAGTCGCAGATGCTTAAAAACCTAAAGTCGGTGGTTTTGTTGGTTACATTAAAATTGGTCCATATATCTAAGAATTTGTGAAATCCGCAGCTTTATATCAAAATGGAGCGCTAGTGTTGTCGTCTTCAAAATATTTACCTGTCGGTAACGTCATCAGCATTAAAAAAAAATATAATGAAACCAAATAAATAAATAAATAGGCGCTCATGTTTATGCTAAGTGGCTTCATCTCCTATCTGTGAGATATGTTTGAAGTTGTCGCACGAATGCAGGGCGTGCAATTTCAAGCCGTCTCCGATAAGCTAATGTTTCACAGAAATTTATTCATGGTAAAACTACACTTTTTATGTTTTGGTTGAACCAGGGATCCTAATAAGTAATAATATTCAACATAAAGGTAATAAAAAATAATATAAATCCATTGTAAAAATCCGATTTAATCGGTATTCGAAAAATCCAAATTTCAAAAAAGCCGCCCAAAAATATTACAAGAAAAACGGTTGAAACAGGTGTGGAAAAACCCAGTAAATCACCTTAGCATATATATATATACATATATGTGTACAAGTATGCTTGCATATGAACCACTATTAAAGTTACATATTTCTCTAATTAAATTATAAATACTAGTGTTCGCCCAGCGGTTGAAATTCAACCGCTAAAATTAAGGATAGTTTATGTGGGTTGAGTTGAGCTGAAATAAAATTTGTTGGAATGGGTTAAGTGGAGGGGAGTTTAGCTTAGTACTTAGCATAACATAACATAGAATAGCATTAGATTCAATAACATAACATATGTAGCATAACACATCACAATATAACATCGCACATTCTTCAGTTGTATTTCCTTTTTATCCCTATCACTTTCTTCCTCTCTATCTTTGTCTCTATCGCTTTTAATGTTTATGTTTATGTTTATGTTTATCTACACCTTCATGTTCATGTTCATGTTCCTGTTCATGTTCATGTTCATGTTCAAGTTCATGTCCATGTTCATTTTCATGTTCATGTTCATGTTCATGTTCATGTTCATGTTCATGTTCATATTCATATTCATATTCATATCCATATCCATCTTCATCTTCATTTTCATCTTCATCTTCATATTCATCTTCATCTTCATCTTCATCTTCATCTTCATCTTCATCTTCAT